GAGAGAGAGAGAGAGAGAGAGAGAGAGAGAGAGAGAGAGAGAGAGAGAGAGAGAGAGAGAGAGAGAGAGATGTTGAGGAGGGGCACGAGATGGGGAGTCGAAAGCGTGCGCTCTGGATTGAGTAACCTAAGGAAAGGATGGGGAGTGGAGGGCGTAGGAGGGAGGGGGAAAGGAGAGTAAGCGAACGTATTCGCGGTTGATCTGTGCAATTGTCCGCATGAGCCACACACACACACACAGGCACACACACACACACACATACACAGACAGAGAGAGAGAGAGAGAGAGAGAGAGAGAGAGAGAGAGAGAGAGAGAGAGAGAGAGAGAGAGAGAGAGAGAGAATGTGTAGATGTGGACCATGTCTTGTATCTAGATGTGGGCAATGTTTTCTATCTTTCTCTCTGTGTGTCTCTCTGTGGATCATATATAGGCCTTTATTTCAGGCGTGGTAGTACTCAGGTCTCGTTTACCTATTTCTATTTGTCGTGTACTATACCGTCTTTACACGAATAGAACGATCGGACATCATAGCTGTATTTGGTGCAATATGCAGTCTATGTACATCGATATCAACCCGGCGTTCTATTTGGGCGAATACGATGGTCTAGAAACAGCTGTAGACGGACGTCTTACTCTTTGTCGTGTAGTGTCTACCTTCTTCCCCCGAATACAACGCACGATCATTATAGCTGTATCTAGACTGAAAGATGCCTCAAATATATCTATACTGACCGTACGTTGTATTCGGGGGAATTATAGCTGTATCTAGACTGAAAGACGCCTCAAATTCATCTATACTGACCGTACGTTGTATTCGGGGGAAGAAGGTAGGGATAGCTACGAAGTGCGGTGGTTTCCCGCCATCCCCAGGCATCCGCTGTTTTTTTTTTCAATATTACTTTTTTAGTTTTTTTTTCCAGAAATTTGATTATAATTAATTAATGTAGTTGCATCTGGATCCGAACTTGGGTCTGATCCATATTTCAAACAGTTAATGGTCAATTAAGTTAGGTTCGTTGGTGAGTCCTTTCCTTTTTTTATTTTCTTCTCTTTTTTTGTATTTATGTGATCTTTTTCCCTGCGGTAAAATATATTTTTCTCTAGTGAATTGTATGCGTTTCCTTGGAGAGATGCGTTAGGTCATTTTCACGATTTGCGTTTTTTTTTTTTTTTTTTTAAATTTTCGCTGCCCATTTTGCCCGTTCGTCTCTCTCCTCTCGGTTTTGTGTGATTGCTAATTTGGTTTATTTAGTATTTTTATTTGTTTTGCTAAATTTTATTTTACCCAGTATTTCGAGGATTAAAAATAAGTAAATAAAAATTTAACTGAACTTTTATCGAATTCGTTGAATTTTTCGGATGCATCATTTATGGACACGAGCTATGAGAATTTTTATATCTCCTGATGAGTCGGTGAAACTCCGACGAAACAGTTTGTCACAGCCCCTCGTTTGTTGTCCTCTTCTCTCTCCCTGCCTACGATTTACCGGGCAGTTCTGTTTGTGACGATATATATACGATATATATACGATTTCCAATGTGACAATATATACGGAAGAGGTTCTGAACAGGGGGAGTTATATAAGGAAGACTATGAAAACAACTGAATTCATTTTTTTTGTTTTCTTTCTTTTTCCCTTTTTGTTCTTTTTGTTCTTTTTGTTCGCATTTGCGCTCTGATACTCTTGTGATATTTTATATTCTATTTGTGACGATATATATATATATATTCTTGCCGCTAAACCTACATCCACGTGGGCGGTCTTGTACGCAAGAGGTTCTGAACAAGGGGGAGTTATAAGGAAGAAGATAAAAAAATGAATTCATTGTTTCCTTTTTTTTTCTTTTTTTTCTTTTTCGCGTTTGCGCTCTGATATTTTTGTGACAATATATTTTGCGCTCTGATATCTTTGCGACAATATATTTTGCGACAATATATTTTGCGACAATATATTTTGCGCTCTGATATCTTGTCATCTGGGATCTGTTTTGTTGCCCCCTGTTCTGTATTATTTCGCTGTTCCCTTCGTTTTTTCTTTGCCTCTTTGCCTTTTGGCTGTGTGCAAGTGGGTCGATATGACACACGGGGGTGGGGGCATCCGCCGCTCAACCTGCATCCACGTGGGCGGCCTTGTACGCAAGAGGAGGTTCTGATTAGGGGGAGTTGTACTGAAGAAGATAAAAACTGAATTCATAGCTTTTTTGTTTTCTTTTCTTTTTTTCGCTTTTGCGCTCTGATATTCTTATGACAATATATGTATATTAATTGAAAACTAATATCTAATCATTAGTGTGCTTATGTCTTCTCGGCGACACGTGGACATCCTGTCGCAATTTTTTTTGAAATTATTTTAATATTATATTATTATTAGTAACTATTCTCTTTGTTTTGTTGACGTCCATGGGTGACACGTATAAAAGATTGGTCGAATATGGCCGTTTATTTTTTTTTAATTATTTTCATATTGTATTATTATATTATTAGTAAATATTCTCTTTGTTATGTACTGCTCGAGTTTTCTCCATTTCTTCGAAATATGACCGTTTAATATAAAATTAATCTCATGTAAGAATGGCGCTGATTGGTGGCATATCTTACTCGTGCGAGTTATGATGGATGGAACTGCAAAAAAAAACGTTTTTTTCTACCCCGTCTCCCTCTTTTCTCTACCTCCCCCCCCCTCTCCCCCCGGCCCCTTCCCTGTCTCCTTCCCTCCTGCGCCCCCCCACCCCGGCCCCCCTTCTCTCCCCGCGCCCTTCTTCTGCTCTGCCTCGCGGCTGTCTTCCGCCCGAGTCCGAACGACTCTCCTTTTTTTCTCCCTTCTTTTTATTCTTTTATATATCCTGTAGAGCGTAGCCCCTTGTTTTTTTAATTCCCTTATTGTTTTATGGAAACGCCTTTTTTTTTTTTTTTTTTTTTACGTGGAGAGCGTAGTCCCTTGCTTTTTCTATTCCGTTATTGTTTTATCTAAAAAATCAAGGCCCTCAGCGTAGTCCCTTGCATATTTTTGTTTCCCTTTATTTGTTTCCCTTTATTGGGCAATTTATTTATTAGTTAGACGTTGTCCCTCTTATCTTGCCGAATTCGATAAATGCCCCGGGGTCGGGTCGTATTGGCTGACGTAGATTCACTGTACCTGGCCATCGATGTTCGTAATCAAGGGCCTAAAACGGAGAGCCCGGGTAAGTAGGCCTCTCATGGGGCCTTGCATCTTTTTGTTTCCCTTCATTGTGCAAATTATTTATGTGTTTAATTCGATAAACGCCCCGCGGTCAGGTCGTATTTGCCGACGTAGATTCACTGTACCTGGCCATCGATGTTCTTCGAGAGCCCGGGCAAGTAGCCGTCGCCTCGATGAGAGGAGGGGAGAAGGCCGGGAGGGAGGGGGAGGATTGCTTTTCTTTTCCTTCTTTTTTGAATTTATTCTTCTTAAGTAATCTGTGACCAGCTTTCTACGAACGTCACCACGTTCTTTAGTCACGAAAAATGTATGGTAGCTATCTTTCCGGTCCGGTACAGACATGGTGATGGTGCGTTGTGTTCGGGGGAAGATGGTAGGCTTGTCCTA